TTTCCTAGCCTCCCTATGGGGGATCCTAAACACAGAGAGATAATAGACTGGTAAATTGGCAAGTGTAGCCTTAATCAAAATTACCCTTCCTCCCATAATGATATAATTCTTTTTCCAAGCTGCCAACTTTCTTTCAAGTTTCTCAACAACTAGGTACCAATATCTGCTTTCCCTAGGATTCTCACCCAAAGGTAAACCCAAATAAGTCAAGGGCCAAGAAGAAATAGAGCAGTCCAAAGAGTTTACAATAGACTCAACTTCATTGTTAGCTAGATTGACCCCTACTACACAACTTTTTTCAAAGTTGACCTTTATATTGGAAACTCTCTCAAAGCGTAATATTATATCCTTAAGATTTCCCACTCTTCTTGGCTCGCTTCCCTCACAAAAAATGATAATATCATCTGCAAACTGGAGATGAGTTACAGAGACATTATTCCTTCCGATCTTCCAACCATCTATTACCCCCTCCCTATTTGCTTTTGATATCAATCTACTCAACACATCCGCCACCGAAGTAAAAAGAAAAGGAGAAAGAGGATCACCTTGTCTCAACCCTTTGCAGGCTGGAAAGAAATCCTTCAACACTCCATTCACTAACACGGAGTAATGAACCGAAGTGAGGCAACCAATCATCCAATAGCACCATCTCTCCCCAAACCAACAAGCCCTAAGTATCTCTAAGAAGAAACTCCAGTCCACCATATCATATGCCTTCTCAAGGTCCAACTTGCAAGCAAAGCCTGGCCCCCGTGTTTTCCTCATATCCTCCGCACACTCATTTGCCATTAGGATTTGATCGGTTATCTGCCTACCTTGTATGAAAGCTCTTTAAGATTGACAAATGATAGATGGTAAGACCACTTTGATCCTTAAGGATAGCACCTTTGCCAAGATTTTATAGATGCTGATCACCAAACTAATGGGCCTGTAATCTTTTGGGTGTTTAGCATCAATCTTTTTCGGAATCAGAGCTAAGAAAGTGGCATTTATTCCAGGGCTACTCACATGTCTTTCTTCAAACTCCTTGAAAACCTCAACCAGATCCTCCTTAATTATTCTCCAACAATCTTGGTAAAATGCCATGGTGAAACCATCTGGTCCTGGTGCCTTTGATCTATCCATAGAGAACACCGCTTGTTTGATTTCTTCTTCYTCAAAGCTCCTTTCCAGCCAACCTGAAATGCTCTCGTCTAGCCTTGGCCACTCTAAGCCTTCCAACCTCTCTCGAATGTTTAGAGGTCCTCTCATCCTTGACTTGAAGTGGTCCACAAAAATCCTTGCTATCTCTTCTTGAGGAGAAAACTTCCACATCAATTTCTAATTTGATCACAAAATTCTTTCTCCGTCTCCCATTGGCCAAAGCATGAAAATATTTGGTATTCCCATCACCTTCCTTGATCCATCTATGCCTTGACTTTTGCCTCCAAGAAATTTCCTCTCTATAGAGCACTTCTTCCAATTATTTTTTTAGTTTCCATCTTGACTCGCTCTCCTGTTCATTCATTGTTCTTTGGGCTTCTTTCTCATCCAAAGACTCAATGCCTGAAAGTAAATTGGACTTGTGCTCCTCTATTTTCCCAAACTGATCTCTGCTCCACTCTTTTATTTTGGCCCTCAAAATTTTCAGTTTTTTGTGGAACCACACTCCTTTCTATTTTACACCCCTCAATTCCTCATTCCACCATTCCCCAACCTTCTTTACAAAATCTGGGTGCGTCAACCACATGTTCTCAAGTCTAAAAGGCGTCAACCACCTAACCATTCCTGTCCTAACATAATAGGGCAGTGATCAGAGGTGACTCTAGGTAAGGCTTTTGTCACCAAACCCCTCCAAAGATTCTCCCATGCTGCATTAAAGAGAAAATGGTCCAGCTTTGAGCAGGTTGGGTTTTCCTGGAAGTTAGTACAAGTAAAGATGGCTTGAAGTCTAAGTCACTGAACTTCTTCATACTGGTTGTAATTGTATATTGGGGGTTATTTGATTCCTCTATAAATCCAATTACATTAAAATCCCCACCCAAGCTCTAAGGGCCCTCCCATAATAAAGATTGACAACCACATTAAGTGGGGGCGCATTGTTAGACAGTTTTGTATGCCCTTAGCTTCAATCAGAATGATGTACTTTTTGAGTTTATTGTAAATGAATAAAAGTGCATATTTGATTCATGTTCCCTTGGTATGTTT